TTATCATTACGTGCCATGAAATAAGCCTAAAGGGTGCTAAATAGGACAATTTTCCCTATTTATTTATTTATGAATTACAGTGCAGGTGGTAGGAGAGATATAATTGCCCCTGCACTACATAGACTGCTGACCAAGGGACAAGAATGAGTACGCGGAATGAAAAGGGAGTGCGTTAACTAAAGCACCTGCGCATGAAATCTAATGGAGCGCGCAACCTAAAAACCAAAACGTAAACAGATAAAAACGGCGTTGCTTAGTTAAAACAACTGAGCGGCAAGGTGAGGCATGCTAGAAAAGCATAGGAAGTTTGCAATCAGAGCAAAAATGCGATAGAAAATTGCTTTTTACTAATGACATTTCCATTTTACTACCGTTAATATCGACCGTTTGCCGTACAATTCACCAGTTATGTAGGTTATGATGAGAAGCACATCCTTACCGTTATATCTAACCGGAGGACGTTTCTAGACGGACCACTGGAATCTGAAGACCATTTCAAAATAAAGTTTTGGCGAACTATGTGGGACTTTCAAAACGAGCGACTGTATCCCAACTGTACTCACCTGCTAATTAACTAACTAACCAGACTAACTAAACTAACTGGCTAACAACGAACTAGCTAAATTAATTAACTAACCATCTAACTAAATAACTAATTGACTAACAACTAACTAAGTAACAGTCTAGACCAACTAACTAACTACACTGACTGCTAATAACTAATTAACTAGGTAAAATAACTAATTAACTAAATGGACTGACCCATTGACTAAGAAAATAACATACGATACTAAATCACTAACTAACTATCTAAACTAACTGACCAACAACTAACTAACTAAATACACTTATTAGCTAACCAAAATAAACTAGGGTAGACTAAGATAAAGTAACCAAATTACTGTCCAAATAACTAAACTAACTAAGTAAAGTTTGGGCGAGCTGCGTGAGACTTTTAAAGCGAGTAACCGTATGCTAACTTCTCACTTGGCCGACTTTCTTCATAATATTGTCCGGGTCTCTCAGTGACTGAAAGTATCATCAAAAATAATTTTGCAGAATTTAAACTCAAGAAAGGTCCCAGAAGTCGTTGCAGCTCGCGAGAAAATGCTCGAGCAATCACTCTTCAGCACCCTGAAATCCGTCCGCATATCACCTTTTTTAATCACTCGCAATGAAATGTGGACGAAACTGTGGGAGTGCTGTAAATGACGATAATGTTGAAATTGTTAGCCGAATTTCGGCGTACTTCTGAACATAAAACGTATTAACCAGTTCGATCACTTACATAAAAATGATGTCGGGGTCTTAATAGACAAACTTTTCACAGAGGAACCCGTCACGAGGAAATTGTTGGCGTTTAAGGAGTCGATATCCTTGTGCCTAGACCAAATACAGGTAAAAACACAGTTATCACCCTGTTCAAATTTTGTCTGCAATTTTCAGTTCTTCAAGTTTTTGCTATCTTAGCCACCGCCATAGTGTAGAAAACATGTCATATAATGATAGATGGCTAGCTTATGATGTAATACTTGAGTTTAAATAGTGTCCTTAATGAAAGGAAGGATATCAACTTATTCGAACATGTGCAACGCAGAGCGACAAAGATGGTCGACGGTCTAAAGCATTTGTCTTATCAGGAGAGGCTGAATTTCCTTGGCCTATTCCCTCTGTCGTATAGACAAATAAACTGCAGTCTACTCTGGACGTTCCGGATTGTTCGCGGCCAGGGCTGCTCATTAAGAGCAGAGGACTTCTTTGAGTTCGCCAGTACAAACCAACTACGCGGCCATGCATACAAAGTCGGGAATGAACGCACGCGTTTAGACCGACGAAAATTTTCATTCAGCCAGCGGGTTGTCAGGCCGTGGAACTCGCTTCCAAGCGAGATGGTGACGGCTGACACAGTTCGTGTGTTTAAAAGAAAACTTGCTCGTCTAGTTTTCGACAGAAATCGATTTGTACAGCATGACTTTGCACAGCCAGCTTTGTAAAATCTGTCATATACAATCTTCCGCACTAATTTACAGTGACCCTATGCACTACTTTATGATTACGATTGAACTGTGACCCAATCACATTTTAAATTCCTGCAATTTTTTTTATTTTTGAGTATGAATCTGCGAAAGCACTGTACATAAATAGGGTCATCAAGGGCTCTGCCTGTAACCCTTCAATATATACATACATATGCATACATATATACATAAATCCTACGTAATTGCCTGGAAATTACGTTCTCGGAAAAGTTATGATGGCTGACATAAAAGAACCATTCAGGAGTACATTGGACATATATTTGCTTACTAAATACCGCTAAACCGCAAAAAATAGTTCTGATTTCGGATGTCAGTGATTTCCTCTCTTTGGGTAAATCGCGAGAGAGATTTCGTTATTTCTCCATCTCATTTCATGGCCTCTTCTTCCTTGTCTACTCCGAAAATATATGAAGAAATCCGAAACATGTTGAATAGGCTACATCTTTGTGTTTTACGTTCATTCAGCTTAATAACTTGCTTACCCGTTTTGCAGGATTTGACTTGGTGGCAAAATATACCGAGTTGCAGTCATTTAAGCTATGGCCAACGTTTATTTCTTTATTAATTTTAGCCGAAACACCACAAGCCAATAGTATAAGGCTGCACTGCTTGTCATGCTACCGCGGTGCAGGTGTTCAATTCCGGCTGGCGTCGGATTATATCCACGTCGTCCGAAGGTATATTATCAACTTCCATTATTAATTGAGAGAATGCGAAGCGTAGTTAACGATATGAAGCGAGATTTTTTCGACCAGATCAACGGTGTGAAATGAATGGCGGAACGACTGAGTCGTTCGTAAATTTGGAGAAATCTGTCGAGCGGTTGTTAGAGGAGCGGCCAGAAGGCGATATATTCTTCCCCTTGAAATCTCGTTATGAATTTATGAAGAGGAAGATATTGCTGGTTTTTTTCCAATTCTTACCAATGGCAAACTGGTAGGGCGGGCAGCGGACTGTAATTTGAAAAAAGGTGAATCGCTCGGAGACAAGAAAAATTTGACTAAATTTCAAAACGCGCGAGGGCGATACCGCATGCGTGCAACTTACACCGTCCGATATCTTTCAGTCAATTATTTTATCTACATTTAAAAGGAAATACTCCTCTCAACCGAGCCCAACTGAGCACGACGGAATTATTCTGCGCTCCAACTGGGACAATTTCGACTTGGATACCATTCCACAGTTACAGTCTCTGACATTGATACTGAAACCGTACGTACAGACTAACTTTGTGCATTTTTGGAATATTTTTTCACGCATCGAAATTCGCCTGGAACCTGGATTTAGTGCAATTTGTTTATCATCACGGTCCAACTGGCAACGCAACTGGCTACGCAACCGATTCACGGTATACAGCCTAGAAAACCAATCGCTCAAAATACTTCAAGGTCTGCAGTTATTCAAGTCCCACGAGATCTGGAACGGGCTAAGTCGCTTCTGATTAAATTTAACAAAATTTATCGGATTTTAAGTATTTTTTCGCTTACTGAGTTTTGAATACTCACTTTAATTCATCATATATAAGCCGATGTATTCGTTATAACATCGAAAGCGGAATTAAACCTATTATATCACGTCGAAGTTTATGGATTCTCAGCAGGCTAACTGTAGTAGTACGGCCAGCGACGGCACCTCTTTGGAAGATAAGTCCGGTGAGTTGTCCTTCGCATCTAGAACGTGTGCTCGCTCTACCTTCGCCTCCAGCCAACGTCCAGCAAAGCGTGCAAAAAGCGTAAATACTGCAAAATGTGTGAGGTACGAAGACGAGCCATGTGGTGGGTGCGCAGATATTCAAATCAAAGTAGAACAACTGGAAAAGGAGCTTGCTGATTTAAGGACGCTCGTGCAACAGACCGTAGTCGGCCAGAACGTGTCCAGTGTTAGAATCCCAAAAACGAAGAGCAAAACGCAAAAAACGCGAAAAAATATCTCCTCGGGGGAATCTTCAAACACGAGTAGCAACTCAACAGCCAAAACCGCAGACGCCGGTAACAGCAAGACAATGAAAACGAAGCCGCCGATAAAGGGAGACTCGATTCCCACGCACGATGTCTTAAGCGATGTCGCAAAAAAATTACCTGTCGCGGAAGCCATCCCACCTAAGCCTCTTGCTGTAAGTGATGGGATTTCTGTTCTGCCTGGAGACGATATACCTGGGTCATCCAGTCTACTGTTGCCGTCTTGTTCTGGCAACCACCCCGAGCGCACTACAGAGCACGTATCTGAATGTGAAGACATGAACCAGTGGGTAGAGGGGAGAGGGAAACGCCATGACAGGATTCTGAAGTCCCAGCCAGCCCTGATGGGTTGCTCGGGACAGTCGGTAGACAGTAAAAGTGTGCGTCCAAGCGATGACTCCGTAAATCGTCCTCGCCTACATGCAGCGCATTCAGACCTGAAGACCGTGTCTCAGACGACCTTGCTTCTTTTCATGGTCTGCTTAATCCTTTACTGCCGGCAGACATGGAAATAAAGGTTCTGAAAGCATTCCGGATAGGAAAAAGGAGTGAAGAAAGGACAGTAGCACAACCACCTCGTCCCCTCAAAATTATGCTGGAGAACAAAGAGCAAATCAAGTTTATCCTCTCTAAAAAAACCCATCTCAGAAACACACACAAACAGGTTTTTTTTTCAACCGGACCATTCACCAGCGGAACGGTTGAAACGCCTGGAACTTGTCTTGGAGTTAAAATCAAGACTGAAGGATGGCGAACACAATCTGGCTATCTTCAAGGGGAAGGTAGTTCGGAAATATATGCCGTTTCAGTGGAGCCAGCCTGTAATACTACGAACGACGACATCTGCTCAGCTAAAACAGACACCTTCGTTGAACCATCTGATCAAGGCGCCAACATAAGTGAGCCCGTAGATTTCAGTGATCTGACTGAAACAAGGCTTGTAAATAAAACCAATCAGGTAACGGAAGAGCCTAGAGAACACGACGTCCGCGATAACGGAGTAATGCTCACAACAGTAACAAATGCAACGGGAAATTCGGCTGGTGCTAAACTGAGGTGCTTGTACACGAATGCCCAAAGCCTCATATCGAAACTAGACGAACTAAAACTTTGCCTTGTTGAGCTGTCTCCAGATGTTTTAGCAGTAACTGAGACCTGGCTGTCCGGGACTATTAGCGATAACGAAGTAGCCTTGCCTGGATACCAAATTTATCGGAGGGACAGGGAACATCGTCAGGGTGGTGGTATCGTTGTGTATGTGAATGACGGTCTGGCAGTGTCGGATAACACCACCAAGTTTGTGTGCAGTACGGAAGCTATCTGGTTGACCATCAAGGCTACCGGTTCCCCGTGTCTCGATGTCCTCACTGTCTACCGACCACCTCGAACAGACCGAATCGCCGACACTCAACTACTGGAGCAGTTGAAGAAATTTTCCAGTCGACCTAACATCATGATCATGGGCGACTTCAACGCACCAGGAACAAACTGGAATACCCTCCAAGCGTCAGGTCCAAAATCGGCATTCGATTACCGCCTGTTGAGCAAGACATTAAATGCGTGCCTCACACAACATGTAATGTTCCCAACGAGAACACGTGAAGGACAAAGGGAAAACTGCCTGGATCTGGTCTTTACGAAAACACCAGACAGCATAGACGAGATCGCCTCCATGCCGCCCCTTGGCCGAAGTGACCACGTAGTGCTTATGTGGGATTATTCGTTATTCTCCATTTCACACACTCCAGGCCACAAAAGGCGTAATGTTTGGCGGGGCGATTTCAATCAGATGAGGGCAGACTTATCCGGTCTTGACTGGGGCTCTTTGTTTACGGGAAGTGCCAACGATGACTGGGAGCTGTTCAAGAATGTCCTTCTGCAGCTCATCAACAACCACTGCCCTCTGACTAGTGTAAGACTGAACAAACGCCCTGGGTGGCTAAATAGCAACCTCAAGAAAGAAATCAACAGGAAGCACAAGTTGTGGAGAAAATACTGCGTCACTAGAAAAGCTGAATGCTTCAACACCTACAGGACACAGAGGAACAAACTGAGGAAGCTGATAATGCAGACGCGGCGGGAATTCGAGAAGAACTTGCTACAAAAGCAACGCAGAACCCAAAATTGCTCTGCAGCTACCTCCGACGAACTACAAGGAACAGGCATCAAATCCCTTTGATAAAGACTACTGATGGCGTTGAGATCGCTGATAGTAGGGATAAAGCTGCGTATTTTTCACAGTTTTTCCAATCTGTCTACACAAACGAGGCAAGGTTCCTTCCTCCCTCCACAGAAGAACTGCCGACTCCAAGCGTCAGTGATTTACTCTTCTCAGAAGGCAGTGTCCGAATAGAATTAGAGGCACTGAACGAATCGAAGTCGCCAGGACCAGACGAGATTCCATCCAAGCTTCTGAAGGAACTTGCCCGTGAGCTCTCTGCGCCTTTGTCGATGCTCTTTCAAACGTCATTTGACACTGGAACACCTCCTGTCGATTGGAAGCTGGCGTATATTACTCCGCTACACAAAGGAGGTAACAGGGCAGCAACGACAAATTACCGGCCCATAAGCTTGACATGCATTCTCTGCAAAGTTATGGAAAGGATCATAAAGTGTGAACTAATGCAATTCCTGGAAGTTCACGGCCTGCTATCGAAATGCCAACATGGGTTCCGAAAAGGAAGATCCTGCACGACAAACCTGCTGCAATCTCTCCAGAGCTGGACCCAAGCTCTCGATGAGAGGCACGCGGTCCACATAGCCTTCATCGACTTCCAGAAGGCTTTCGACACTGTGCCACACCAAAGGCTCTTACATAAGCTGAAAAAATAGGGATCGGTGGCAACTTCCTTAAATGGATCGAAAACTTCCTTGTGGGTCGACAGCAGGTTGTGTGCGTCGGTCGGGGAAAATCAGATCCGGCTATGGTCGATAGTGGTGTCCGCCAGGGTTCAGTACTGGGACCCATTTTGTTCCTTATCTACGTGGACGATGCCGCAAGAGATTTGGACTGTGAAGTAGCAATGTTTGCGGACGACATGAAGATATGGAGTGTAATTCGTGGTCCTGCCGATGAAGACAGACTGCAGATGAGCCTGAATCGGTTGGAGGAGTGGTCAAACCGTTGGCTCCTGCGGTTCAACGTTGCCAAATGTATCATACTTCGCCTAGGCAATACAGCCAGATCCGCCAGCACAAGAGGCTACTTTCTGGGCGGTGCAGCCCTACAAGAGGTCAAAGCCAAAAGGACCTCGGTGTGCTTACGACGAGTTCCCTAAAACCATCCGCCCACTGTTCGAGGGTGGCAAAAACCGCAATGTCCGTACTGTACTCCATCAAGCGTGCGTTTATGGACTTTGACGAAGATGCTTTCTCAAAGACATTCGGAACATTCGTCCGGCCGCATTTAGAGTACGGCATACAAGCTTGGAGGCCGTGGGCTGTTGTGGATCAAAACTGCCTCGAAAGAGTCCAGAAGAGAGCCACGAAGATGGTCAGTGGGTCAAAGCTCCTTTCCTTATGCGACCCGCCTAGTAAATCTGAAACTCTTTCCTTTCAGTTACAGGCCACTTCGCGGAGATCTCTTGCAAGCCTTCCGCATTGTAAAGGGGTTGGATTGCAGTCTGGCCTTCGAGGACTTTTTTGAATTTGCTACCACGACCAACCTCCGAGGTCACCCGTTAAAGCTGCGCACTCAGTAGGCACGGCTGGGTGTGCGGAAGTTCTCCTTTTCGGTTCGGGTGGTCAAACCATGGAATGAGCTTCCCGCAGATGTTGCGATGTCACCATTTATACAAAGTTTTAAGAAGAATCTGGACATATTTATGTTCCGAAATGACCAAGAGCGATGAGAAGTCGAGCTCACCCCCTGTAACTCCTTCTCATTTTGTCCCACCATTATGGGCGTGTTAGAACTATTTCAGCCCAGAACATCTATCTGTACACCACACATTTTTTGCGTTGCAAATAGGGTACTCAAAGGCTTACGCCTATTTCCCTCAATAAACTGAACTGAATTGAACTGAAGTTTTGCATCTAATGCACTCTCGTTTAAATGAGCCAAGGTCGTTTTTGCTGAGAGGAATCCTTTAAATAGGTTTCCCTGTTTACGCTATGTCGAGAGGTTTTCCACAATGGTGAGGCAATTTAAATGAAAACTACTTTTTTAGAGCTTCGAAGAAGTTGCCGAAAAAGTCCGCAAGTTGGCAAAGAAGCCAGAAGATTCGGAGATGCTGGAGCTCTACAGTCTCTATAAGCAGGCTACAGTCGGAGACTGCAATACCTGTAAGATGCGCTATGTATTTTTATTGTTTTTGCTTCAGCGTGCCCCAGCGCGATACACTTTGAGGCGAAATCGAAGTGGAATGCCTGGAACGACCGAAAAGGAATGAGCAAAGAAGATGCCAAGAAAAAATACATTGAAGCCGGCAATGCGGCTGTCAGCAAATATGGTCAACTGTAACATGACATATTTTTCAATAAATTTTTAACGGCTTCATATGAAACATTTTGTGCACCTTAATTCCAGACGTCGTTGTCCTTCCGTGTTACTAGTGTTTGCCTCGGGTGTATATAACATCCTGATTTTCGGTAATTTTCTGCAAGATCCACGTCCCATTAAGTCCCTCGCTGTGAAGCAACGTGTTGCAGAGGTCGTTGGTCTGTTACAGCGTCATGGGTGTGATCTTTATGACCCGAGTGATTTACGTATGCATGAAAATTCGTCAGTGCATGTCCAGCTATTGTTTCACGACAGCGAAGACTAGATGTTTTCTGCCCCAATAGACCTTTGTGTGCCTTGGCGTGCTACTGCATACGTTCAATATGTGAGCGCGGTTTCGTGAAAGGAGGGGAATTTTACTTATAGCTGTGACTCGCTTATCCGGCTTTTCGTTTGCTATTTTAAAGTAGCGATCACTGTACACCCTTGTAAAGATCACGATTCCCTTATCGAGATGGATACAGCCCACTGAGGAACTGCAAGAAATTGTCACGTTCAGTCTTTATCATACTGAATCTGCTACCACTATAAACTCATTCACGCACAAGCCACCGTGCCTCGTCTCACTTTGCTGTGGAGCACACGGAGGACGTTCAAACAGTCATGTAAGACATCTTAAACTTCGGATCTTAATTAAAATTCAGTCTTAAATACTGTATTTTTTTCGGGAAACGCATCTAGTGGTACACCGAAAGCCTTTCTTTCACCGAGACCTAACACTTATCCGGGTTTGTGGAGAGCAACACTGGCCACTTTCTGCATCCTTTCAACTTGCTCTGTAATCCAGTTTGGCGTGAAACCACGTTCCGCTCGCGGGCTACGCATAATCTCTTGCTACATCTAGCCACTAAGAGAAACGATTAGACAATCACCCTTCCCAACTACACTACAGGAAAACAATTTTCCAGGGACGGCCATTGTTTAGATAATCTGGAGCACCACAACACTGTCCTTCAAAAATCTTCTAGAAGCGTATGCAATTCTCTTTCTGTTCATTAAGTAGGCTGGTTCCGAAGCGAAACTCTTATTCCTTCGATATTGGTTTCTGTCAGCCCCCACCGTGCTCTAGGACGGCGCAGTTTTTCGACATCTAAGTCTAGCGTCTTTTAAAATTGACGTGGCCTACTCGTCGTTCGCATAGCATTGATAGATATCTAGTAGCCTTAATTGCACCTAAACTCGCCAATACATGTAACCGGCCCTAGAGATGATCCTTTTGATTGCGATTCACTTTGTATTCATAGAGCGGCCGATAACTCCACCCTCCAATATTTCAGAAAACAAAGATGCGACAGCTTTTTACAAAACTGCATAGTCAACGAGAATTACTTCCGAGACAGGAAATGGCAGTGCATTTTCCGACGCATCCATATGCCTGTACTTAAAACTTATCCATATGTCCGTACAATAATGTATAGGCTGGTCCAGATAAACTTGCCTGGAGGCTTCTGTCTGAGTGGAAGACTTCGCGCATAAGAGACAGTCTACCTTTTTCTTGAAACTCCTTGCATCTCTTTTCCCAGATATTCTAAATGGTTTGAGGTAGATAGCATTCATCCTCTGGACGTGGAATTCTTCCCATAAAAGCTTAGAGACAAAGTGCACTGGATCACTGAAATAAAAACCCTGTTGGTCAACCTTTCCGGGTTTAAACTAGACAACATGACTAAAGGCAGGGTTAAATGACGGCCGGTTCGCGTATTAATTTGCGACATCAAATCAATCGAATCCTGTTGTTTATCCCATTTCAGTTTCATTAACAGGGTAAGTTGTAAGTTTGTAAAACTTCGCTAATTGTCTTCCAAAAGCAGGGATATAGAACTGTTAGGTTGCTTGAGATGAACAACGTCGACGGTTACTAGGGATTTTGTCAAAAATGAATTTTAGCCTTCAAGTTTTGACGATGCAGCTTACGAATTTTCATGGGATTTGACTAAACACTTATTTAAAAGTATTTGTTCAGTTAGAAGGACAAACTAGACTGCAGTCTTCTCTGATTTCACGATTTTTACCCACCGTGTGCTTCTTACAAATTTATGAGCCGCTGTTAAAGCACAGACAATTTATAAACAAAATTTTACCCATTTAAACTTCCGAATAGCTTTTAATCCAAAATCCCAAGTTCGACGCTGATATCTGTTATGTTTTAAACGGCCCTGACTTACTGTGTAACTTAGACTTTTCACTGGTATTTGGAAATAAATGCAGGCATTTATACTATAATCTGAAAACCCCAATCTGAAAGTGAATTCTAAGAACCCCTATGAAACTCAATTTTATTGCGCGAGTTATACTAAGTCGGACTTATCTGTCTTTATTTGACTAGTATTTAAAAGGGTCAGTTTAAGCCTATACGATATTACATGCGAATCACCATCCATTGGCTTAAGAAAAAGACCATTCAGAAAAATTCTTATCATCCACTATAGGGCCCACCGTCTGCAAAAACTAGTCGTTTAACAATCAGAAATGGCCCCTATACCAACACCTGCTTCCATTCCTTATAATCGGGATCGTCTGCTGATAATCATCATACATTGTTTGTCACATAGATTCTTTTAGTTCGTATTGTTCAAAAAATAATCCTTTTATTTCTGTTTCACCTGTTCGAAAAAAGTGTTACTTGAACGTAACCGTATCGCGCAAATCGACCTGTTAGGGTTTACTGTCTTATGCTGCATTAATGGTAGAATAGATTAATAGTATTTATGAGTGTCTTTGTTTAATTCTTGTATTTCTGCTAGCTTTTGCGACCATGATATTTCCTTTTTCATTCGCATTTAATGACCCTATTTAGTATTTGTCAACCCTTGATTCATAGAAACCTTCGGTTCATTTAGGCTTGTAAAATTTCCCTTTCTCGGTCCAGAAATCTGACATTTCCGAAGTAATAACCACATAATGCTTAAACGAAGCATGAAGAGGTGCTATTCTAGGAGATCTTTCCTTGCTAAAGTTGAAGTTCAAAGCGGTCATTTCTGGATTATTTGCTGTTAACAGCTAGTCATACCCAAAATGCAGACTGACAAGTCAAGATTCCATCTCTGAATAAACAGGCCATCTTACTGGATCTTGTCAGTGGATTCAAGAATGCAACATCCTCTCGCTTGCTACTTGGATATCGAAAGCTACATTGAGGCAGTTCAATGAATCTTACTACTATTGCCTGTTTGACCGTAAGCCATATCTCTGTAAACCATTGAGATCTCATTGTCCGTGATGAATACTCGTATTTTTTCCCAGAATATAGGTCGTCTTTCTCATATTCAGGACAGACAGAAAGCTGCAATGTGCACGCTGCCACCTTACAGTTACGCTTTATGAAACTGCACGACAGTCTTATGAATTCTTTTCAATACCACTTGATATTAAGAAGATGATTTTGCTCAAAATCATTTCATATGAAATTTACCTAGAAAAAATGAGTAAACGTCAGATGATCCTAAATTCGTCTTTACCACTGCAGTTAGGAAGACAACAGTTTTTTATGCTGAAAAATTCCATACTACCTCTTTCTTTATGGTTGAAGTCGGGCACACGGTGTTTGTCAAAATGTACACCCCTAATACAGTCAATCGGAAAGACATTACAAGTTCCTATTCCAGTCTTTTTTGTCTACGACTTTCCCAATTAAACAAGTTAAACTTCATATGCATATCATTCTCAGTAAAGGAAGTCAATAGGTTCCATTCATAAATTTTGTCAGAAAGTAAATTGACCATAGCAGCGGTTTGTCTCAAAAACTGCCATCTGTACTGTCCACAAAATTGGCACTTTGCTACCTAATTGCTTGCCCAGCTAACATCATGACTTCTTCTTGCATTGATTTCACAAGGTTTGCCGATTCTGCTATGGTGTGGCGGTTCTAATTCTAACCAGATGTTGCTGATAGATTAACTAAAAGGCAAGTAGTCCCGGTTTCTCATATTCTGACCAAGTACATCTCAGGTGCTCTCAACGTGATTACCAAACAGAAATACATAGTAAAATACGATTTTTTTGAAGATAAAATTTTCCGAAGCATAGCTGCCAAGCGATGTCGGGGGTTCTTGGGTTTTGATAAAGTTATGTTTCAACTATGCGGGAAATTACTGCACACTGAAGGCGAGTGAAATACGGTTGCCAACCGAATATCTGGCCTGAGAATCCTCTAGCCAGTGTCATAAGTGACGGTGCCGCCGATCCTGGTTGCATGACAGGAAGAGAATTCCCGTTTTTCTCCTACATTTACATCATTAAGGAGGCACAACAGGGCCATTTGGTGGAATCTAAGACCTCCAGGGGACGACTTCAGAGGCCAACCCGCAGGCAGGATGCGCATTAACACAGGATGCTAAGTCGGCAGAGCTACCAACTGCCTATGAAGCCGCCTCAACGACTTGAGTGAGGACAGAATTATGTTAAGGCTCATTCTAAAATCAGGATATATCGTTGGACACCATCCCCATGCTATCCTTTTTTACCGGGCACGGATTTGCATCCTGAGTGAAACAACGTCTAACCAAAAAGAAGTGTTTTAAGGTCAACTCAGTTGGGCCCAGTTCTGAGATGTCCGGCCTGTGCTTTGGGCGTTAAGCAGCGGTTAATGCCGCCAAATCCACCAGATTTGCTCATCCCAACGTCCCTCTCCTTGTTTTCTAAACCAGTATTGTCAGAAAGTTGGCTTTATGTAAGTGAATTCAATGGACATTTAATTACATCATCACCTACAGTAAGTGACCGATCCCATGAAATGTTTGCCAGAATTCTGAAATGCGTTTTCGATTAAGCGGAATCACCTAGGCGAGCCTGTAATAATGCTTGTCATGTGGCATGCTCCTATGATATTTTGGAATGACCAAGATTTTGGCTTTTGAACGGACTTCTTTCCAACCTCCTGTAAATACCGCACAAGATAAAGATAACCACAGTGTGTGACCGATCTCATGAAATGTTGGCCAAAATTCTGGAATGCGTTTCCG